GTCCATTTTTGCCATGGCTTCCATTGGTACCGTTCATGGCAGTCAAACTTGGTTGGTAATGTTAGTATGTTGGTGTGCCGAGCTTCTCCTCCAAGCGATCTCTCAAAATACTAAAAACATATTCTGACAATTTCCGACACCTGTATCTGCACAATGATACGACCCACTACTTTCAAAACATGCAAAGGAAATCACACCTTCACAGGATGTCCGAAATCAATGCCAAAGTGCGACTGCAATTTCATTACGTGTTTGACTCTTGTCTTGATCTAACTGCTTTGAGCAGGTCTCACAATGGTATGCAAAAAATGCCCGCCCTGCCCCCCCCCCCAAAGGACATCAGTTGCATCTGCACTTCTACACACACACACACAGGATATATCCAGAAAATATCCATGGAACCTTCAAAAATGATGATGATATAGAATGATATAGAACTAAACCGCCAGTTTCTTTCAAGCATGCAATACTCGCCGCAAGTTCATGCGTGCAAGCCAGTCCGCTGAGACGCTTGAATTATAGCGCTGCACACCTACACTACACGTCAATACACTAAATGCCATGCACTCAAGCACCTTCAACAACATGACAAAACTTATCAAACCGTATCAAACCATATCAAACCATTGAACTTGATCATTGAACTTGATTATCACTTCCAAAGTGTACGAAGACTTTACTATTAAGTCAGGGGCCTGTGTTGAGACACTAAGCGGCGGTTGCACTTCACGCACGGCATTGGACTTCTTTGTAGCCCTTCTGCTTTGCAGTACAAGGCTTGTCGTTGACAGTGGCTGAGCATCATTTCATTGTGCTACTCAGCTGGTGCGGAAATTTCAAATCAGATCAACTCAAGGTAAAGCCACAGCAATGCCTTAGTAATCTTCAACGATTTTGGACTGGTCACAGAGTTCAAATGATCTGCAAGAGTCTGTAGTGTACATGTCTAGAACAGAATCTCAACACAACGTTTGTGTCTGGCCCATGATGCACCCTCTCTCGCTTTCTCTTCCTCTCTCTCCCTCTTCCGCTCACTCAAATAACGAGCCGCCGACAAGAGGAAGCAGTGCAAGCACCGCACTTTGTCTTGCAGAACCTTCGGAAGTACCTGGACCAAGACCAACTGGACCAACTGGACCAACTGGACCAACTGGACTCACTTCTGACTGTGTTTCAACCGTTGCAGCAGCACATTTTGCTGGGCATCAATTTCCTCTGCTCTGGGAGTCTGACGCATTGGAAGCAACTCCACCAGGCCGAAGCCTTCCAGAGTACCTTGCAGGAGCCAATGCAGAATTAAGGCAATCTCATGGGATCTACAATGACCTAAATGATTTAAATTTAAATGATTCTAAATGATTTTAAAATATTTTAAATGATTATATTCTGAAGGCACCTTACGTATCCTATCCTTACGCCACTTTCAATCTGCATTGCGGCAGTGGCACGGTTGGCGTCTGCGATCCTTTCATCTTCCTGGTCATTTCGAATTCGGGTAATGAAACTCCAAGTGGTGGAGTTGGGTGGATACCTCGGAAAGGCATTGCAGGCGATAAAAAAAACTCCGCCACATCACCATGCAAAGAACACCAGGGCTGAAACATATCGAAACATCTTGAAACAAGATGAAACAAGTGCCCAACCCAGGATTGTTCACATCTACCTCAAGCGTGTAGTTGTTTCGGAGGAGACCTGCAACAGTGGTGAAATTGCTCTGGGAGAAGCAGCACTGACCATCCCCAGCCTGCACCGTCTGGGAATCGAATGCTTACTGTTGCATTGTCGTAGCCCCTGCAGGTCATACCTCCCGTTCGGACTTGGGAGATCCAGACCAAAGGATACCAGGTCGGAAATAACACACAATTCAAACAACTTACTAAAGATTACAGATGAACATATATAGATTATTATAGACCTTACAGTACCTCTTTGCATCTGTATTGCATCTGTATGGCCGCTTCTCTCACTGTTGCAACGGGCAAACCAGGCAGCGGCCTTCCGGTGGAAAAACAAAGCCAACGTCATAGCCTCTGTTGCTGGTTGGCTGCTCGACCTGATTGCCTTGGACAGATTGGAGCGGAGCTCTTTCTACCCCACTGGGTTGCTGAGCTGACACCCATGCTGCAGCATGGCATGACTTGTCATCGATATGGGTATGTCTCGAAATTGGGCACCCCAACATACCCCAACCATCAATATCATCATCAAAATATATCAACATATATCGCTGTATCACTATATCTATCAGACACCATTGAGATCCGTTTTAGGGCATCCCCATTTTCAGACACACCAAGGTGTCGCTCAGATAGAGACTCAATCGAAGTCGAAAGCCATCCGTGCAGTTCACTGGGAAGATGAAGCCATCAGGGCCAGACAGCACCTGGAAGGCAGCAAGGACAACACTGGGCTCGGCCTATGAGGCTTTCTGCATCAAGAGGCATTGTTTAACTTGACTTTGCACCACCTTCAAGATTTTACAGCTGTGCTTCACTGCTAGACTTCAGCTCCCACTTTTGCATCTTTTGCCAAGCGAGCATTCTTCTGGTCTGTGGCAGTTCTGGGGCTTCTTCACCCGGAGCATCTTGTAAGGCTCATCTGCAGCTATCAGCCTCCGTAAAGGCAGAATTTCCACTTGGGTACAGCTCCCAAGTGCAACTGCAAGGCCATGGCGTCTCTGCTCCGGCAAGAAGATCTCCACGTCTGGAAGGTGTTCGTCAGCAAATTTCGTGGCTTCTTCCAGGGTCTCCAAATGAATTTCCCAGGCAGGTCGTTCTTTGACAATCAAATCTGCAAAGGCCGGCCCTCCGCTGCATCCCAACCTCCCTGGGTCCACTGCGAAGAAGTGCCCACCAGGCATCAGCACGTGATCCAAGGTAGACAGCAACGAAGGAAACAAGCCGGAATCGTAGAGAATGTCGCTGCCAATGACCGTGTCGAAGTCTTTCACTTCCCCGCCTGGCCAAACACACAAATGCAAAAACTCCCAATGTCTCAAGTGATATGTAATTCAAATCAAGCCACAATGACTGGATGAAGCACGTTGGCTTGGAATTACTGAAGTCAACTTTCGCAAACTAAACTAAATTAGTGTCAACTCCTAACAGGGCAGCCTCTCTCCTGAACACTGCTCCAGTCAAGTGGAATGCACTGAAGGCATCTAGAGTCAGGATTGAGATGCATATTGCCCTGCAGAGACTCAAGCACTGGTCCAGAGCGATCTGACAACACCACCTCGGGATGACATGGAATGCCAGGCTCAATGATGAATTGTCCCAATTATATACAATACACACACACACACGCACACACACACACATATATATATAGTATAATATACAGATATATAGATATAATTTTATATCCAATTATCCACATGTGGGATCATGTGGGGCTGAATTTGGGAATGGATACTTCATTGGCTCTCATTGAATATTCGCCCGCACTGAGCATATGCAACAATTTAATCCTCGCAGTCTGGTAGTTCAAAAATGTTCAAAATCTGACTCTCAGCGTCTTCAAGTAAAAGTGAACCTGTTGGCAGTTTGAACTCAAGTCTCCCCCATGCCACACCTCAGCTGCTCCCAGTGTGGCTGCCACCAGCCCTGCTGTTCCCAAGCCACTTCCAAGCTCTAACACACGCTTGTCCCGGAACAGTCCCGATTTGATCTGCTCCAAGCACATCCATGCTGCGAGCACCTTACATTTTCGGAATATCAAGACATGAAAAACGACAAGTGTAAGTAAACTGACAGCTCAAAACACCTCAAAACAACTCAAACCAAGACCTTGGAAGCTTGGAAGCTGTTGCCAACAAAAATAACGTAAATCTCTGGAAAGTTCTGAGATGTTCTGAGTGGCCGCACCAGGCCAGATCCCCACAGCATCTCGCCCTGCTGCAGGTTCCCTCCAGGTCTTGCCTTTTTGGACTTGGTCGGGCACTTCTCCGCAAGGCGCAGGCAGGATGGTCGCTCCATTCCTGGCTCGGCAACTCATCCCTGGAGAAGCATCACATCACCAAATGATACCGTACTAGTACGGGTAGGTGGGGAACCTCCTGGCAACAAGAAATGCAAAAGACGCACTTCGTGCATCCAAGACTCCAGGGAAATGCAAATCCAACAACTCTGCTGCAGAATTGGCTCCAAGTGCTTCAGCTTGGCGCTTTCGAAGAGCTGGCTCTGGGTTGTCTGGTTGAGGGTGGCTGTCTTCCTTGCCAGATTGGATAAACTCTTTGGGCTGGCATGCCAGCTCTTTGCATGCAGCTTCCAGAATCGATTGGGCCGACAGTGCCGACATGGGACTCCATTGCCCACCCAAAATTCAAGTAATTGAACGGCAAACCGTGGCAAAACTGCAAGTCAGGTAGACAGTCATTGCATGTCATGTCCAGATTGAAAACACAGACCAGACATCGCATGTCATATACTATCCGTGTCATTTCATTGCGTCACACGAAGACAAAACACATCTTTATATACTTCTGAGAGACTTAATTCATCTATTGCATTGTCACAGGGAGTTGCGAAATGTAGTGAAGGTTCTGCCACTGATCGGTATGATCCCTACTTTGTTCTTTGCATGTTATTTGCTTTTTGCTCCAGTTCTAATCCATACGACTGCCGACTCTACTCGTGGTCCAATCCATGCGACTGTTTCCATCTTTTTTTGGCACAGCCTGGGCCTTTGAAGCTTGGCAAATATCACAGGCAAGCAATATATGGAATCATGGGTTCGGCAGGTTTTATCGTGTTGTATTATGTTGTATTACAGGATTTACATGGATTTACAGCATTGTAATCTTTCCGTCTTTTCATTTGCTATAAACTGTGGTATCTTGGAGTTCCATGTTGAACTTGGTCAATTCCGGGCTTTACCATCTGCAACTCTAGAGTAAGGTCAAGCACCAGCTCGTTGCCAATGTCCGCTTGGTTCAGGATAGTGGACTGCACGAAAACCACTCGCAGCGGGTTCAGCTGCCCAAAGTATGGGAACGTGGCCTGAATGTCCACCTGGCCGATGCCCTTGGATGGCTACTTTCAATAAGGTCAAGAATAACAACTAACTAGTACATATTAGTACATCATTGTAAACCTATGTAAATCTAGTAATTGGTTGGCAAGCATATAATATCATATAATATGCAAAAATCAAACGCATTCCATCATCTGGTCAGTAGCGCCAGGCGTGTAGAATTGAACTGACAGTACCTATTGGAATATACATGAATAATCCATGAATCACTGGCCATCTCAGGAACCTAAATTGGAGGTACCTACCATATATAAGGCCTATATAAGGCCTATGTTTACGGGAATATCCCCAGAAAATATGGATCCTGAAATTACCATTGAATGAATCTACGGGGATCTACGGGGACCTTTGGCGACCCAAAGGTGGACCAAAAAAAGGTGGCTCCGCTAAATCTGCCCGGCCTCCAGTCGTCCCGTGATGTCAAAGCTGTCCACAAAGTCGCGCATGTCCAAGGTCTTGGCCAAAGGACCTGCTGTTTCCACATGGAAAACCCGGCGACGCCGTCGGCTACCCACAACAAAAAAGCATTTGAGGAAACCTCCACATGGAACTATTTCTGAGAATTTGGACATCAGCATCTTATTCTGCTCAAAATATGCTCAACATAGCACTCTCCACTGAACTTCTGCTTGAAAAGGGCAGTGGCTTTTGGATGCTTTTGGTGTGACAAAATTAAGACTCCATTCCACCATTGGAAGCTTGCGATTTCGTCCTACTCTGCATGAAACTGAGATCAAAACTGATGATGCGGAAGTTCCAGTAGTTCTGTTGCGGTGTGAACTCTGGGTTGGACCTGAGAAAGTTCTGATCAAGTTGAAATGAAACAGAGGGTCATACTGTAGTAAGATGAAAGCGATGTCCGTTGTCGGGTCACCTACACAATTTGTATCGGGTTTCATCCCCGAGTGTTGGACACGTAGACGAAGAGTCTGAAGGGCGAATTTGGAGCCAACGGGTCGGACGTGTCCATGGTGAACTCTGCAATGTTATTTTCCCTCACCTTCGAAGCGTGTTCTCGCGGCAAGTGCGCGCAAGTTTGGATTGGTCCCACAGGATTAGAATCAAGGTACTGACAGGCGAACCATCCCAATGCCCAAAAACACTAACAGAAAAACATCGGCATGTCTCATGGCTTTATTTGTCCGCATTGCGTTGGATTGTTGGAACAAAAAACCTGCTACACAAAGCACTGAGGCAAAAACATAGCACGTAGTCGTGTTGGCAAGCCCATCATCAGTGCTAAAGAAAGCACAGGTGAACACAAAGCCTCAGGGAATTGAAACTGTCTGTCCGGCACAACACGCACAGAATGCAGCAGGTAGAATCTAATGGGCAGAAGCTCCCTGAGTTCCGTTGCCATTTGGCGCGGTGATCTCAATCTTGGAACCTCCAGGAATGTACTTGTCACTCATGATGTAGAACCTCAGGACGCACTCCTAATATCTCCTAATCACATTTCATATCAAAAAGTAACCTTAAAAAATCACTATAAATCACTCTTCTAAGTTGAATTGAGACTACAAGCAACCTATGGAAAGCCAGAACGCCGGCATAAAGGCTGATTGCCGGACTTTTCGCACCATTTGCAAATCTTTCAGAGTGGCAGAGAGCAGATCTCAGGTAGCAGCTCCAAACGATGAAGTGGCAGTAGCGTGGTGGTGTCGGACGGAGTGACACGAACTTCCTGCGCCGTGGCTTAAAATTGTTACATCCAATCCCGTGGTATTGGGCAGTCGCCGGCCTTGATTTGCTCCAAATCGAAGCCAGGAACACTCCGCCTTTGCAAACGAGGTCAAATGGATGAAAATGGAGCCACCATGAGCCACGTAATGCACTCCCTGTTCAGCACAAACAACCACACCCATCTAAAATTCAAGTGCAGGACCGCAAGTGCAAGATCACATCGTTCTGAAGTGTTTCGAATCTCCACACCTAGAAGCATCTGTACAAAATACGGATGCTCTTAAATCATCCATGCCAATCTGCATGTGCACATCCAAGCAAAAATCAACTCAACCACTTAAAACATCAAACTTAAATCTATTTATATCTATTGCATCTTTCCATAACCATGGATCAATGCTCAAGTCCTCATACTCATCCAAGTTTCTGATAGCATGCATGTGGACTCGTTGTTGAGCAAGACAGAACCCCTGGATACCCCTGGGTCTGCGGCGTTGTCAGCCGAAGGCGGTGTGCGCAGTGGATTCGTCAGGGCAAATTCAAAGGCAAAGTCCAAACCATAGGACACCTCTTGCTCGATGGTCATCTCTACATACCACCTGCCAAAGGGATCCAAAGGGGTTGAAAGAGGCCTCTGGCGAGCCAGCCTCTGATTTCATGGGATGGGCTGATGGCAATTCAATGCAATTCAGGTAGCTCAGGAGCCCACTGGCCACTTGCTGCATCATAGTGGTCGAAGCAGTAAGTTCCAGATGGCAGCGACAAGTACGAGATCTCAGGTGCTCCAAAGCGCCCCCACGCATATCCCACAGGGATCCAAAGTGCAAGTTGGTCCGGGGATGTCAAGTGTCATGGTGACGTCACTGTCTTAGTTCATCTCGGTTCCCGGCTGTGGTGGGGAATGGATTCTTCACCAGCTCTCGGCCCACATCGTATGACAAGGAAAACAAATTCAATGATGTTCCGCAGTCCTGCGACAAACGAGGAATGTCTGCCCAGGGCCGAAGTGCGTTGGGGAGCATCAATGCACGGAGAGTTTGGGATGAACCCCTACCATGACCTGCAAATCCATTCCACAAATGTCTGAGGCGGCAACATTTGCTGTCAGAAGCTACAGCTATACAAGAAACATGAGGATATCAACAAATGTCATGTCTGTTGAACGAATCGAAGGTACAGTACAGAATCTGGAAATCTGCAGCATCCAGAATGCTTTGATGAAATTTGTGCGTCCCCTTGTCGAATTTCTGAAGCACGAAACCGTGGTTACTCGCCAAGATTTGCTGGTCACACTCTATGACGACTCGCTGCGGCATGTCCGGCAATGGCTGAAACGTCGGAGGCAGCCAAAGCCGCATTTGACTCGTCCTTGGATTCAAATCGAGCATGGCACATGTCGCACATGTCTGAGAATGGCTACTCAGCATGGCTCAGCACCCAGCTGCCCAGTTTCTAGACTGGCTTTTAGAGGACTCTTCAAGTTGAACCAAATGCCGACCTCAGAAGTTCAGAAAGTTCAGCTTTGCGCAGGACAGTGGGTCTCTTCACTTGCAGGATTTTCCACATCGATAAATCATTTCCAGGTGTTGAAAGCTACTGAAAGCATTGCTCGGCCATGTCACATGAGGCTCTGACCACGTTCTGTGCCAGTGGTGACAGCACAGTCCCAGTGACATATGCGCCTGAAAACTCGCCAAAGATCTTGAAGCCAGTGACGTTCAGGTTCACGTTCAGCCTGACACGACATGCAGTGTTTTGCCTCAAAGGCTCTGAACATTCGCACATTAAGAGAGTGAGCGGTCGCAATTTCTGGGTTCTAAAGAGGTAAGGAGCGCACAGAACGTCTGTTCCAGAAGACAAACTGAAAGCTTCGAATTTCCAAACCTGGGACAGTCGCTGACTCTGAGAGGTCCCTGATCTTGTGACATATCCTGATTATCAAGCACATGTTTCCAACATTACCTGATAGTTGAAGTGAAAAACAAGTGGGTTGCACCGTACAGTCTGCCTTGCTAAGCAGATCTAAGCAGCCTGATTGAACTGCACTTGGGGCATTCATGATCCAAAGGATCGTGGCAAAATCAAGGTTCTGGTTGGTTCGAGTTGGATAAAACCAGCCCTCAAGATGGATAGGTCGGTGATGGGTAGGGTTCCTATAGAGGACCAGGGGGTAAAAAGAAGGAAAAAGGGAAGACAAGCCTGGAAGACCATTTGCGCATTTTCCAGCATGACGTCAACACTGGCAGCAAAACTACAGTATACAAACATTTAAAAACACACACACACACATACGCAAAATCTTACGAGGGCCTTTTCCAAAGAATTGCAGCCAAAAACATTCCAGCACTGCAGTGGCTTCCGGGAAGGAAAGTCACCAGGAAAAATTGGCTGAGTTCAGCACGTTGTTGGCCCTCGTTGGTGATATTTCTGGGTTGCTCAGGCCCAAAATGATAACCTGAAGCAAAGAGCTCTGAGTTCTGCCTTTTCTTTCCCTGGAATTTCTGTTCCCCAAGCTTCCCACCAGTGGCACGTTGGCTGGGTAGCCTTCTTCGATGGCTTCTAGCCTTGGTTCAGTGCACATTTCACGTGTCAGAAGTTTATGATTAGCCCAGCCAAGAGCTGACCCTTTCTTTACGACCATTTTCTACCATGGATATCCATGGATCAGTTTGTTCTCTATGAAGCCATCTCCAACCAAATCTCATCAAAAGTGCTCAAAAGTAGTCAACAGTATCAACACACCAATCATCCTGTCACATCCCGTCCGTCACCTTTTCGATTTGCCATGCTTGATGCTTCTGAAGCATCCGAAGGTACCCCAACAACGCTTGACGCTCGCAGTGCGGGCTCCGGTCATGATCAACAAACACCGGAGTCAGGAGCGAAGCCATAGCCATAGGGGCCATAGCTCGCTGGAAATCTTCTCCATCCTCCTCCAGATCCTCCAGGTCAGAGCGCCCCTGCCTTCGTTGGAAACAAACTTGGGACGAGGAATCCTTTGCGACTCCGAGACCGAGAACTCCCGCAGTCCAAGTCACCAAGGTCTTCGCTGCAGCTTCCCGTGAAAACACTGCCCCGCTGTACTGCAATGCACTGTGGGCTTGAAATTGGCCCAGATTTTTCCATGGAATGGAAGAATCACTTTGGGAGGTGGCAAACGTGCCATGGTCATCGGAAGAAACACGCGAACGAAGAAAATGAGTCAGGAAGTGCTGCCCGAGACTTGATTGTTTTTGCAACTTGGCAGTTTGCTCTGGACTTCGCCCCGCATGAAGGCACAAGTGTCTCAAGGCAAAGAACGCAGGGATGTAGACCACCCGATGAAGCATTGTGCGCACCTTTTCTTGCACTTCTGCTTGATCAAGTATAGATTCAAATGATTCTAGAATAAAGCCTTGATCCTCAGGCGCTTGCATCGTTTCTTTATTCTGCGCTGAGTAGATCTGGACAGCCTTTGTTTCAATCCAAAGCTCTGTGCCAGCGATGAAGTCTGGCATCCTTAGGTAGCAAAAGATTTACAGTAAAAGCAAAGCCAGGTGTGAACAGTACCAAATCAAACACAAAAGGCACGTTCTTGTACTCTTCCTGTCCCTACCCTGTGAAAAATCTGCATCCAAGACTCTGCAAATGATTGGAGCTTGCTTCGCTTGCTTGCATGATGCTTCGGAAGCTCAGGGAGTCAAGATGAAGCCGTTCTTGCTCAAATAGAGTTAGCATGGCCAAAGATTGGGTCCAGCACAAGGCGCGATCCATCCCATCAAGAACAGAGTTAAGGACAGTTGGAGTTGGTTCTACCTTCTGCAGTTTTGCAAATTCAAGAAGTTGAAGGGATTTTGTCCATTGCTCACCTTTGCCACAAGCGCTGACCCCGATGCCAATGGTAACGAGATCAGGCGCAAGCTTTCTCTGCTGTGCTTGAATGCCACTTTTTGCCGGTTGAGCAAGGTCTGGAAGGTTAAAGAAACACAATGTCCGTTGCCAAAGCGTTTTTCCCGCATCATGGTCGGGCATGCCCCCCGCCAACAAATCAACAAAATCAGGATCATCAACAGCTCCCTGGCACCCTGCCATTGCAGCACCCACCATTGGCATGGTCAATCGAATAGGGAACCAGTGAAAGCCATGAATCAGGGCCAATGCTCTGCCCCACTTGCGGCCCATGCTGCAGGAGTTCAAAGCTGCACCAAAGCAAGGAGCATTGAGCTGCAGGGATGCAAGGTCTAGTGACTGGATCAATGTCAATGATGTTTTCCAGTTCGCACTCTTCTGGCACGCATTCAAACATGCACCAAATGCCACCACGTTTGGTGCAGTGCTTGACCACATGCCACACGACAGGGACTGAAGGGCACTGCTCCATGCTGAGCCAAAAGCGTTGGCAGCAGTGCCATAGGTGACTTCACTGGGTTCTATAGCCAAACTCCGCATTCTTGACAACAGGCCCCACACCAATGCTTGCTGGAAATCTCCCTGCAGGTTTGCCATGGCTGAATTGAAGGAAATCTCATCTACGTTGTCAACTAAAAGGAGATCCAAACTAGCTCTCCATCCTTCCAAGCCCGCACTGGTGATAACGACATTGACGCACTGCGCATCAGGGCTGGGGCTTCGAGGAGTGTTCAACCACATCGACATCAAGAGATTTAGTGCCAGCTTCCAACCCCGGGCCTTTCCCATGGTATCCAGCACTGTTCCCCAGACTATCGGGCTGAGCTGAGAATGCTGGGAATACTGCAGGGCCAGCAAATCATAAGCCTCTTCCCATGCAATACCTCGAGACAAGACTATACCATTCAGTGCTTTGACACACACTCCGCAGGAGAATGCATCCGGGGGTATGCCAGCTGTTGGGAGTGAATGTAGGAGCTTCAAAGAAGTTTTCCACGGCCCAGTGTTGAAATTACAAGCGCTTGCAATGGAGTTGGTCAAAGTGGCATCGTGTCGCACCCTTACAGCGGCGACACGCTGAAACAAGGCCAAAGCGTTCAACCATTGCTTTGCTGATCCCAATCTGCTGGCCACTCTTTTCACATCTAAGTTGCTGCAGTCCTGCTGATCCCTCTCCAGCTGAGACAATGCCGCCTTCCAAACAGCAACTTTGTAAGCACGGGGTGCTGCTCCCTTTCTGGCCGGGTGGCTGTTGCGCACCCTGGTCGCCAAACATGGATTCATAAAAAGCCGCTTTCTCCTGGTCTGCTGGGCTACCTGCTGTCACATAGCTGTGGCGACTCTGAAGGGCCCAAGCGGCTCAGCAAAACCGTTCAACAGATAGAAGGATGAATTTCCAATGAAACAATATGAAAATAATATGAAATAACTTTTTTTTTTCTCACTAACACTCCTGCTGCATGACCCACTCTGCGTCTCACGCGCCAATGGACTTTGCCATTGGGGAAGGCTATGTACAGCCACACCGGTCACCGCGGGAGGCGACTATCCGGTGGGCGTTCATGCCACCGGACGTCAGCCAGGGTCGCGGCGAACGGCGGGGGCTCCCCATCGACGCCGGGCGCGGCCGCGGCCGGGAGTTCGAGGAGAGTCTCGGCCAGGGCGCGCTGCGCCGCGACGGATAGGAGGCCGGCCCAACGGTGCAAATAACTTGTGCATACTCATGCCTAATTCTCAGCTACTAGGCACTCGGATTGCGCTGGCATTCCAGTTTTTGTACTTGTATGTACTTGTCATTATGAAACCAGGTGCCCCTGCCCGAAGCTCCCAGCAAAGCTCCCCACCGTCCAGCAGGACCCATGGGCTCTGAGAGCAGCACTCAACCACGTTTAAGCTTTGGCGTCTCTCCACCTTTACACGAGAAGAGCAATTCCTTTCCATCACACCCCAAACGCGCAATGAGAGTACCATGATTGATAAGACAAATTAATTGTTGGGAGCTTGCTGGTCCGGCCTGTTGAGGAAAGGTGTAGCCAGTCCTCAAGGCAAGAATGATAAAACATCCGTTTTGCGTCAGGCTCCTGCAAGGGCAAGTGCCTCGCACTTGCAGTTCACAAATAGAGTGGCTTTGAATTAGGCTTGCGGCTGAATAGCAGGCCCTGAAAATGCGGCATTTTCGCCTGCAAAGGATGAAATTCAAATCACTTTTTCTAGATAGAGGATATAAGCCGTGCATTGGTTTACACCCCCCACTAATTTCAATTACTTGTCCAGGAGTGCACCGGCTTTACAAGATCTATAGATAATAATAATATATCATTCATAGATGGTAGTAGGGTACGATGCTGCTAGTACATACCCGAGCTCTTTGAGACTTGGTCAAGTTTTAATCATCTTTGCCTCGCATGTACTCAACCGGGAAGGTAATTCGCAGGATCGCACGTGGATCACACCTCGGTTAATCAAGCAGCTTGACAACAGCCATCCCACGTACCCGCGTATCTTTCGAAAACATTCGAAAACCATCTCATACAACAAAGAATAGCAGTTTATTTATTGCTCAAGTGGCATTCACACTTCCATGATCTTCCATGGAATGGGCTTTCAAAACAACGCTGGATGAACTCCCAGTCTTCACGTTCAACGTATCTGATTCAGATTATTCAGGGCCAAGGCTGCCAAGGCCTCCCCTTTTCCCGCGCGAGAGTCTGTACAAATCTGCGCCGAAGGCAAGTGATTCTTCCACGAGCCCAGTTACGAGCGCTCAAATGAGCAGCTGATCAGCATGAATTGCTGTACCCTCTGGTAATTTAACATAGCTATTGAAAATGGCCAGTTATAGTGGATTTTCCCATTAAAAATGGTGATTTTCCATTGCTATGTTTGTTTACCAGAGGGTATGCTCAGTCTGAATCAAGTTCAAGACTAATCACTGCTGGCTGGAGTCGGGCAAACTTCCTGGGGGATTCAGTTGGCTCTGGAGGATCTGGACCTGGCTGTGAAGCCACTCCTTTCGCCTTCCGACCATTTCGACCTCTGCCGCGACCTCGGCCTTTTTTGGCCTCACCTGCTGTGGCTTTCTTGGCTTTCTGGTCGCTTCTCTTTCTGGCCGCTTTGGTTTTTTTGGGTTTGGAAGAATCTGTGGACAAGGAACTGGAACCACTCAACCCACTGGAGCCACTGGAGTCATTGGAAGTCTGCGAAGAATTGGAAGAACTGCTGGACTTTGACTCGTCACCTGTTGAGGGAAGTCTCTTCCGGCCACTTGAGGAGCTGCCAGACTCTGATGAACACACCAAGACCTGCAAATGCGTCATACATCGAGCGCAATTTATGGCATATATGGTATGACATGTCAAAATATAACATCAAACACAAGATCTTCCGGGCATTCTCGACATCTCTCGACCACCTTCTTCCTTTTCTGACTTGGTGGCTGATCATGTCTCTCTATCCCAGCCTCATCGTCTTGATCCTCAGTTGTGCCTGGTGAGCTTTCCCCACGAAGCCATTTTCGAATCTCAGAGAGTTTCGCCTCTCTGCACTTCTTTCCACTTTGCATGCTGTTGGCCACTCGTTTCGACAGCTCCACGCAGCCAGCCAATGTCTTCTTCATGGCAGCTTGATGCTGCTCATCCAGCTCCCTGAAACTGCTTGCCTGTAGTTTCTGCCGTGATGGGAAAAAGTCGCTACCGTTCCCAAGAGTTGACTCAGGGCTTTGCAGGAGGCTGTTCGCGTCAACGCTCTCGTAGTTGACGCCGAGCACAGACCGCGTCCGGTGTCGGCTCATCCTTTCTTCCACCGTCCCTTGATGAACTAACACCTCAGACTGGCTGAATCTGAGTTCAAAGGTTTTGCAAAAACTCTGGGTCTCAACTATGCAGTGCTTCGATTTTTGCGAGAGACTCGATTCTCCCCAAACCCCACAGCTCGAAGTCTCAACTGGGCTTGGGTCATAGAATGTAGGCCTGGCCTCAGCAAACAGAATCGAAATCGAAACATTAGCGGTTCAATGCGGTTCAAATAAACTCAGTCTTCATAACACGGATCACATGGCACATACCATTGTGACCAAGGATGACCAGGGTGTAGTTAAAAAGAGGGGGAAGTTGCCAGCGTGTTGCGGGTAGTTATCGTTTGATTCATTTGCATTTTTTGATGATAAACATGATCGAAGGAAGTTTAGAAGTCAAACTTCCGACAATATGGACAGATGAAAAGCAGAGATGGGAAGAGTCAGAGAAGAGAAGAAGAAAGAAGATCAAAAAAGAGAAAGTTTCAAAAGAAGATCCAGGTGCGCGAAAAGGTAGGAAAGTCGCGAAACACTGTTTTTCCAATGATCCAATGATTTGTGGCCCCGGAGGGTCGAAAAGTAGGCTCGCTAAAGTGGCGGGTGCGGAGCCAGCTGGCCAGATGAGAGATGAACAATTGCACGCCGTTGTGGCGCGAAGCACATTTCCAAGTCAAAAAGAACAAAGCACGGCAGCCTCGGACCACTTTTCGCAGTGGCCATGTCGAAAAAGTGCACGCTGTTGTGGCGCGAAGCGCGTTTCGAAGTCAAAAGTGTAAGAAACTGCAGGGTTCGGAGCACTTTTGGACGTTCACAGATGTTGTTTCGCGTGGCAGGCGCAAGGGATTGTGCGCGAACAAAACGTGAGGGTTTTGTAGCATTTCCAAAAATGATGGCAGGCGTGGGACATTTGAAGAGGATCTGCAAAGATGAATTTTCCGTGGCAGGCGCAGTACAAGAGACATGTTCATCAGAGCTGTTAGGAGGTTCGGAGGGAAGGGTTGCATTTTGGAGCATCAGATCTTCAGTTTTGGGAAGATGATTTTGCGTGACAGGTTCAGCACTTCGTATGACCTGGCATCACTTTTCGTGGCAGGCGCAGTACTTTAGACAGGTGGAGTGCAAAAATCGCAAAACGCATTGGTACGAGGCCGTCAGCTCTGCACTCAACTTTACATTTTTGAAGGAAGTCTCGCAGAATTGTTTCATTTTTGATGTTGTCAACTTCGAAAATTGAGGACGTCTCGCAGAATTGCTTCGTTTTTGACGCTGTCAAGTTCAAAAATTGAGGAAATCTCGCAGAATTGCTGCGTTTTTGATGTTGTCAAGTTCAAAAACTGAGGAGGTCTCCAAGAATAGCTTCGATTTCAAGCTTGCAGATAAACAGATAAATAGAGAGACAACTACAGCTGCAACTACAACTACAACTACCACTACACTACACTACTACCACAACTACAAGCAAATATATTACGCTACATTACACAACACTAATTACACTACGCTACGCTAATTACATCTAATCGCGCTACACTACACAAATTACACTACAAATACTACAACAGAAACTATTACAACAGCTGCTACTACTACTACTACTACAACTACAACAACAACAACAACTACTACTCCTACTACTACTACTACTACCACCACCACCACCACCACCACCACAGCTACACTGCATTACACTAATTAAACCGCAGTACATTACAGCTACAAATGCAAAAATAAATGCAACTACACTACATTACACAACACTGCGCTACACCAATTACATTACATTACACTACAACCGCAACTACCACTACATTGCGCTACACGACACTGCACTACAACCACGACTACGCTACTTTACACTACAACACGCTAGACTACACTTCACTATGCCACGCTACAGTACGCAACACTACAGTACACTACAATACACTACGCTAATTACATCACACCACAATAACAACTGCAACTACGCTACACTAATTACACAACATTACAGCTACAACTCCACTACACTACAACTACGACTACAACTACAACTGCACTACACCACACTACATCCAGCAGTTGTGGTGAGGTGACCACTGCAGACATTGCAACAACTCCAAAAAACACAACCGCAACCACCTTTCGGTCCATCAGTGGATTCGCTCTGCCATCCGTGATTCACAACAACCAACCTCCTCTATAGGTTTCCTATTTTTGAAACTTCCGCCACCGCCTTGTGCGGTACTACTGGTCATAGACCATCATATAAACCATGATAAACATTTAGAAACCTGTAATATCATATCTGCAAATGCATGGCTAAATCGGTCTAAACCAATTTTTGAGTGAACTCCCTTCTTGAACGAAATTTAGCTCAAACCATTTTCCGTGACATTCTGGTTGACTACACCCATTATCCCGTGGACCCAATAATCAGCCACTCCAATCTTCCCAGTTGGGGGAATTGTGATTGGTTTATGGATGCTTATGCCAACATATCCAAGTACAATGGGCTCATATACCCCAATCTCAGCTATAGTTCGCCTCCCTCCACGCATGTATCATGTATATATATATAATAAAATACTAAGTTATATATATATATAATAAAGCATAAACATAAATAAATACATGTATATATATATATATATGTGTGTGTGTGCGCGCGTGTAATTTTTGAAAAAAATGGTGGTACAAGCCATCTTTTTGAACCCCATGGACACCCTGAATGTTTTGTTGCCCAAGCTACTCCCGTCTCCTCGAAGCGACGCCGTTTCACTGGACCCCAACGAAGTAGTCGACCCAGCCGTTGCTGTTCTTGCCGGCGGCTGGCGAAGTGGCCACCCATCTGGATCATCACCTGCGAACACTGGATGCCCGTCTTTTCAAGAGACAGAATGTGGATGAAGATGAGGAGGTGGATCATTTACTGCTTTTGATTATATTTTGATTATATAATTATATTTCATGATATTTCATCCATTGAAATCCGGCTAGAGCGAATCAGAAAAATGTGGATGTAGCCATGCAAACATGGAGAACACATAATCTTAGCCAAGCAAGCAACATTTCTGGAACTGATGGGTTTAAGTTTGTTGATGGATGAGCGCCCTTGCAGGT